TGGCTGCTGGCCAGTGAAGAAAGTGTCTTCCACCCATGCAGCACCTGTCGCTGCAGCCAGCGAAAGGAGCAGAACCGCGTACATCTCGGGGATAGCTGAATGTGCGTTCGGTGCTACGTCTGCGTCAAGTCTTGAGCCGAAGTGCTGCGGGAGGGAGAAGCTTTCTCTGCCCCGAAAAATTAGAAGTCTGGCCGTGCGATTCGCAGAACAACTGACATCTGTTGATAAGGCGACTCGCACTTATAGACTTCGAAGTTGTATCCCGTCGGTGCGAGGGCTGCCTGGTTGCTAGGATCAAACGACCTGGGTGCCACCCGGATGAAAGTGGAGGGGGCGGGGGGCGACAGGGTTTTATCTGAAACCGCGTCGGCTATTCTCCAGCTTCCCCGCCTTCCATGAAGTCATGTCCACAAGTCGGGCACCTGGCTTCAGCTTCACTAAAATTCGAGCTTGCATACCAGGAGAACAAACCGACACTCACCAAATGGTTCCTAAGAGCACGATCTACAATGCAGAAATGATCCCCCAGCTGCGACCTTAGCAAAGTTCGCTGGGTACTTTGGAATTCTAGACTCATGGCCTTTGACTCCAGCTCTTCCACCCCGGGACAACACTCAAGATTAAGCTCTCAGGCATCGGTGACTGTCCGGCCAGAATGGACAAGCATGCCTGTAGTTCGACCACCAATAGATTCAGTAAATGCTCATCAACCCTAAACCCCTAAACCCCTAAACCCCAATAAACCCTAAACCCCTAAACCCCTAAACCCAAGCCCCTACACATTTTCCAAAAAAAAAGAGCTGTGCCCCTTTTTTTGCCCGGCCCCGGCTCGATTCAGCCGTGTCCTGGGCTCACAGAAGATCAGGAAGACGTCTCCGAGAGCTTCTGGGCCTCGAACCAGGCGAGTCGCGGGAGCAGGGCATATCCACGTAACATATGGGAGTTTCCAAAAATTAGGGTACATTATTTGGGGTCCTTATAATCAGGGTCCTACTATTTAGGGTACTATACTTATTAGGGTCCCCTATTTTCGGAAACTCCCATATCTATATGTGCGGAACAAGACTGTGCCCATGTATACATATACATTGTTGAATATTTTTTTATCTATATATATATATGTGTGTGTGTACATACCTTATTTTTATGTGCTTCTGTATACTTGCCAGGGCTTTGTTAAAGTTTAAAGTTGTTTGGGGGGCTGCAATGAACACCTCAAGTTGTGCTTCGAGCGTTGGATTCGCTTTTTGGTTTTGGGGCCTACGTTGCGAGAGCCGCCGGCGATAACAGACACGCCAATGACTTGAAGAGGGCCAATCCTGCGTCGTCAAAGTTACCAGCTCAGAACGCTAAAACTGGACAAAACCCTTGGTGGTTTTTCTTCCTCAGGCGAGTTCGTGAAGGCTCCAGCTACCACATTTTAAAGCGACAAAGTCATTTGGTTTCGCGAAGATGAAGATATCGTCAGGCGACACATCCCAATATCCTGGTCAAACCAAGGGCGTAAGACATCTCCGGGAGCCATCAACACCACACAAAAAACTGTAAACTTTAACTAAGCCCTGGCAAGTATATGTGTATGCGCGTACAGATGTCTCTTACACATGTAAGTGACAGTATTCAGAAACAAGTTAATAAACACTTAGACAACTAAGCCAAGCACGATCACATAAATGCGCACATGCATATGCAAAAATGTGAGCTCAACCCACCACCACGTGTACCACCGCCACCACGCCCACCCCACGTGATCCTTTATAGGGTCTTTGTTTACCGCCCCGGTGTTGCGGGGGCCGCCGATGTATAAAAGACCGTAACGCTAAAAATCCGAAATACATGTGTGTGTGTGTATATATATATATATAGGTACACATACATATATACATGTACATGCACACTATACGCAGCTAGATGGCTAGATGTGATGAGATTCGATTCGGCAACGCATGTAATGTGTATATAAATATATATATATATACATATTTATATATATACATGCATGTCTTCGCACGCATTAATGAAACTTATAGTTTCTAGGCATTCGAGACGGCAATCTGAACTCTGAATCTTGCTTGAACCCACAGGCGGCACTCGCTTGGTGCCAGAGGTTGCGGCGGCAGATCATGCATCCGTGCGACTCTGATGATTTGGTCTTGCTACCCCTTGGCCCTTTCCTCATGAAGAATATCGATCTACTTGTAACGGACAGTGGACAAGGTCTACACAAAGCGCATGCCACTCGCATACCGCATGCCTTGACAGCAACGCGCATCTTGCGGCTGCTGACGCTGGCTGAAGCTCCCTTTGCATCCTGCAGTTCAGCGTGGCGAGCTGGTTGCAAAGGGTGAAAGCCGTAAAAAGGACCTTGCTATACATACCAACCGGAAGCCCGGCAAACTGATTCTGGAGTTCAAGCGGCACGGTTAGCATTGAAGACTTCGGTGCTTTTTGAAGTGTTGGCGGATTCGTACATATCAGGTATGGTAAGCCACTTAGACTGCCTTCCCGCGGCGGGACACTTGATAGCCTTCAGACTTTTCGCTTTCTGCGCGCGCGTTTCTAGAAGGGACCTTTGCTGCCTCTCGCTGATCCGGCCTCGTTCAGCAACTCCAACGAAATCCAACATGAGAGCTGAGTAGTACAGTATAGCATGTTACATTGTAGTCTAGTCCATTGTGTACTCTAGCACATCGTAGTTTCTTAACAAACCAGCGCGAGCACAGACTCTCAGGCGAAGGCCACAGGAGCAGGCAGCTGCAAATCCAGCACGACCTGTTGAGCACGGGCTGCACGTTTGCTTGGCTGGTCTAGTCTAGCCCAGACAAGTCATGCCTGCAATCAAGAAGTAAGGAATTCAGGGCATCCCGTTCGCAGCTGGATGAACATCAAACCAGGACTCTCGACACCCCGACTCCCGTCTCTTAAAAGGTTTTGGCAAGCTGGGCGAACGGCGGTGCCGGCATGCAGCACTCGCCTGAGCTTCAGAATTTGTTCTACACGGCTCTTGCAAGCGGTGTTTTCGGAAAACTACCCGCCCGGAAAGGGTGTCGATCTCCCTTCTCCATCTCCTTACCGAAGAGTTTCGAGCCGCACTCGAAGTGGCAGGAATCTGAAACTGTCCTACATTATTGGATGCTGTGGGCATCTTGAGCAAAGTGCCACGGTGCAAATTCCAGAAGGGATCCAAGAAAGGACCATGATTCAAAACAGCTATGAGTCATCTGCTGATGCAAATCGTCACCGGGTCCAGGGCATTGTAAGTTTTAGACGGTGAATCCAGCTGGATGTCAGGTGGTGCGGCATCAACGGTATAAGCCGCCGTAGCAGGTTTAGGGTCTAAGGCTCACCATTGAAACCCGAATCTGTATTGCTGTGATACTTAAGGCTTTAGCGACTCAAGAGCCCGAATATCCTGGCCCCTAAAAACCAGAATTCGGTTTGGGGCATGTTATAGAAAAGTCACAAGGAACCCTCAGCAATAAGCCTGGTCATTATTCAGGCCACTGGATTAAGCCACCAAAATCCTGCACCAAGGCCCCGTCAACTCCTTCTCGGCTAGCTCAAAGCTGACGGCCTCCTTGAATGCCGAGTAGCCAGTAACCTCCAGGGCTGTCCAGACTGCATGTGGTGTGACACAGAAGAATTTCTTTTATCAGTCTTCCTATTCTATCGTTGTATAATGACAGCCAGAAAAGCCCGATTCTATATATATATATATATATATTCATTCAGACACCTATACACCCGTAGCTGAGTGCATGAAGCACCGAACAAATCCAAGACCTTCCAACCCAAGCAAAGAAGATACGCAGCCCCATGGTCATCTGCGCGAAAACGTTTCCACCCTGCAATCCCCGGGCTGCAACTGAATCCCAAACTTGAGGACCCGATGGCAGCAACAACGACCTATCAGAATAGCCACGAAGTCCAAAGAGTAGCAAAGGGCCATGATAACTCTATTCTCACCATAAATACGGCTATATTACCACTTTGCTATATGTACCTATATTATGATATCTCACTTAAGAACCTAAACCCTGATCCCTATAGGATTCCAAGGGCATGCTGTGGGCCCCGGCCCCACAGAGTCGAAACCAAAGCTCGTCGCTGAAGGTCACGTTCACGGCCAGGCTCGCCTGGCTTTTCGATAACTTTGGGTTTTTTGCATGTGATGGTAGGACTCTTCCGAGTGCACACAGCATGCAGGTCCTTGCTGGCTTTCAGCAGTTGCCAAAGTGCCACTCTGTGGGCAATGGCGATGGTCGTTCGACCCCTAGAGGCCAAAAGGATGCCCTGCTACC